TCTCTCTCTCTCTCTCTCTCTCTCTCTCTCTCTCTCTCTCTCTCTCTCTCTCTCTCTCTCTCTCTCTCTCTCCTCTCTCTCTCTCTCTCTCTCTCTCTCTCTCTCTCTCTCTCTCTCTCTCTCTCTCGCTCTCTCGCTCTTTCAGTCTCTCCTTTCTCTCGTCGGTGCATCGGACACGCGGAGATCGGTTACAGTTACAAAGCCGCGATATCGTCCACCGATATAAAGCGCGGGATTACACGCGCGGTATCCACTGCGCGCCCACGCTCGCGGCTCGCATGACAAATTCTGCTCTCCGGCAATCATAACGCCGACGAGAAACGCGATTAGCATTGTCAGCATGAGATACGAGCGGAGACGACAACGGCAGCGACGACGACGACGACGACGACGACAACGACGACAACGACGACAACGACAATGACAATGACGTTGACGAAGACAACGATGACGGACAACGTCAAAGCTGTGCTGTTCGTTCGTGCTGTTCTCGCTCGATTCTCCGTCGTATATCGCAAATGAAATGTGATATAATATGTACGATGATATTTTGTAATATAATATATAAGTAATATATAAGATTATATTATGTACAATACAGTATGACAGATATCGTTGATTCAGCAAACATTGAAGACGAGAGAAAGAATAAAGAGTTTTTTGTGGGATAAAGTTTCGACTCAGGGTTATTTTCCTCTTATCAAATCTTAAGATCGATTTTACCTATGCACCGTTTCTACCATGTAGTAATAATTCCGTTAAAATGTATTAAATATGTACAATGTTTCAATTATATATCTTTAATTCATTAAATATTTATTTCCCTTCACTATTTGTTTTATATATATTTTTTCAATATATATATATATATATATATATATATATATAATTAATTGAAAAATAAAAATTATTAGGCTAAGATCCTTTATTCAGGTATTGCCGGTTTCCTATTTTATTCTTTGGCTTTTGTTGTGTGTGTGTGTGTGTGTGTGTATGTGTGTGTATTAATTGTTTAAAAATATCTTGTTAACTGTAATGAGTTGATTAGATATTTACGAGATTTGATATTTGATCTAATATAACATATAACATTCTTTAATTAAAATTAAAATCTAATTATTAAGAATTTTACAATTTTTCTAGATTTTATTGAAACTTTAATTTCAAAAAAAAGGAAAGAAAATTCATTGAATATTGTAATTGTAAAAAAACAAACCTAAATCTCTTATCGATATTGGAAAGTGAAAACATAGTTCATTGTTTCGCCACAAGAGATCCTTCACAGTGTTTTTGGCAATCCGACGTTTTGGTTCATGTCAATTTAATATTGGTTTAAATGGTTATAATCTTAAAAATAAAGAAATTTGATAAATATAATCAAAGCTGGAATTTGTTCATAATTATAACAATTTTAAGTTTACTATCCCGACAATTTGCTGGTCTGAATCTAAGTTAAAGTTTGCTTATGTTAATATATATAGTTGGAAAGTGATGTATTGACCAAACATTCGATTATAGGTTAGATTTGCCGTTAATTTTCGTGAGACACTTCGTGAAACGATGGATTAATGTAAAAGGACGACTGTAAAGAGTGATTAAAGAGTGGAAAATTTATTATCTCAAGCATGAATTCCTTAATTCGTAACGCTTGTAATATGTTTTCAATTCAGCTCTTTTAAGATGGAAGGTTAGCTTCTGTCTCACCCACACTAAGAAATCGACTAAACCACGTTGTCACATTGATTTATATTACAGATTTGACGAGAAAATAAAGAAGAGTTTCGTTTTGTAATATATACTAGAAAAATTGTCAGTGCAGCGAAGTCCTAAACGAATTCGAAAATGTTCAAAAATACCTTCCAAAGTGGTTTTCTATCCATTCTGTACAGTATCGGCAGCAAGCCGCTGCAGATCTGGGATAAGAAGGTGAGGAACGGACATATCAAGAGGATTACTGACAACGACATCCAGAGTCTCGTTCTAGAAATACTAGGCAGCAATGTTAGCACTACATACATCACATGTCCTGCTGACCCTAGGAAGACCTTGGGTATAAAATTACCTTTCTTAGTGATGATCATCAAGAACCTGAAGAAATATTTCACATTCGAAGTCCAAGTGAGCTTTTTTTTATATGAATTTAGAAGAAATTAAAAACTCTCATTCATTACTCAATCTTTTAATGTAAAATTACATATTTTCCAGATCATTGATGACAAAAATGTACGTCGTAGATTTCGCGCCAGCAATTACCAATCTACAACAAGAGTGAAACCATTTATATGTACTATGCCGATGAGATTGGACGACGGATGGAATCAGATACAGTTCAACTTGGCTGATTTCACACGCCGTGCCTATGGGACCAATTATGTGGAGACATTAAGGGTCCAAATTCATGCTAATTGTAGGATACGGCGAGTGTATTTTTCCGATCGATTATATTCGGAAGATGAATTGCCAGCGGAATTTAAATTATTCTTACCCATTCAAAATAAGGCAAAGTGTTGAGGATTAGTAAAGATTGCGCACCTTTAAAAAAAGAAGATGGAATACTTCTCAAAAATTTATTCTACCTTCAAGACAAAATATCATTTGTTGATGGTTGCCTTAATGTTGTGATTTGCTCGCACGCTCAAAGAAGTTATATAAAATACATAATATACAATTTCTTAAAATTAAGTTTTTACTTAATGAAATATAGCTCACGTATCATACATTATACAAGCTCGTGTATCTTTGTTTATTATTATACATTAATATATTTTTTTTTATATTTTTTTCACAACTACGTCTCTTCAAATATATAATCTAGGAGTTAAAAAGTGAAAGGTAAATTTATTGCTGGCCAATACATTTGTCCAATCTTTGTTTCTCTATAAATTTTTCTTGGTTGTAGAAATTTCTGCGATTTGTCATATTATATATATTAATAATTCCATTCGTGGCACAATAAGTCTTTTATTCCGTAAATTTTCGAGAAGTTTGCTCTTCGCGACATGAGTTACAACTAGAAAAATCAGATACAGCTTTGTCCATTAACATGTCTTGCAATTCCACTTTGTCCAGTTTCATCTCTTTCTCAATTACAGATGGAATGTGTTTTGATATACTTTCAATTGTATTCTTGTCTTTTCCTCAATATTAACTAGAGATCTTAAACTATCAGTGATTTTTTCATTCTTTTTTATATATATTTACATTTCGAAGTAATTTATACTTCATCGCTTCGAGCGTCAGACGCATTGTTGATCTTATCAAGCTTGATATTTTTAAGTCCAATTTGGAAATAAAAAGACCGTCGGCAGATGTTTTAAATTTTGCATCTGTAGAATTTACATTATTTTTCTGTGTGTGTGCGTGTGTGTGTGTGTGCGCGTGTGTGTGTGTGTGTGTATGTATTACTGGTATTATTACTTAACACGCAATTTCTTAGATTGATATATATGTCTCCAACGTTCTGATTTTGTCTATATTTTTGTTTTCTTTGAATAATATTTCACTGACATGCATTTTTAAAAATTGACTTTTTGCAATTTTTTTTAATTCGATGGAAGACGCATGTTGCAATGTATGATTATTAATTTTTATAGCAAAGAATTTCCTGCATTTTTACTGCATATTATTGCTCTTTTCTTCGTTATATCATAATTATCATCTTGTAAATTATTTTCTATAACTGAATTATTTACCAAAGATTTCATAAAATATTTATTTCGTTTCGTAAAAACATTCTGATTATTGTGCATTTTTATTGCATCATTTAAAACGTTCAGTGACATATTAGTTGTTTTTAATATACCAGAATTATATAAATTTATTATATGTGTACTTAAACTTTTTAAGTCTTTCGTACTGTATGCATTTTTACATAAATCTATTTTAGTCGATAATATACCAATTGAATTATTTTTAACAAAATGATTCAAATTAGATTGCTCTAAAAATTCTAGAAATCAAAGAAGGAAATAAGTTAATATTGTGTGAATACATATTCTTCAAGAATATGCAGAATTTGTATAATATTCTTCCGTTTGACAAGATTCGTCAATGAAATTAATTCCCCTTTAATATGTACATGTCGAAAAACGTCTGGCACATCTCGACAGAAATTTCGTTGTGATTATAATGACGATCTAGCAGGTAGACTCTTCTCAAATCGGATATATTGACAACTCGGATATATTGTTACTCTCTGCAAAGCCTCGTAATCTGTTCTGTATGCCTCGCGACAGAAAGACTGAAGGTTTATCTCTAAGTAGTTCCAAGATTCTTCTAATTTCAATGGAATACGGGCCACACTTGCATTAATGCTTGGTAATTTCTCAATGTTGTAGATCTTGAAAAGAAAATCTCCGGCGATATCGACTTTTGTCTATTATCTTTATGCGTGTCTATTATCGTTATGCGTAAAAAGCAAAAATTATTAAGATACTGATAACAAAATGCATTTATGAAGCATCTGTGTATTTGGATTTCCAGTTTGAATCGCAAATTCAGATTTTTTACGAGCACGGGAAGCTTTATGTTCAGGATGTCCAACGTTTTAGCAGGAGTGATTATGCTTGTGGGAATCATGTTGGTGAAATTCTGTAATCTCGATCACTCTGTCTCTGTACAGATTATCCTTCACTCGACGGATCTTGCCACCATGGGAAACATGTTTCGATCACAAATCCAGCGGCTTCTCCGCAATACTGTACAACAGCGATATGTATTCGGATTTCATTGCCCAACATTTTTGTCCTCACAAGAGATTTACGCGATTGATATATAGCAACCTTAAAAAAAAAATATCGAACTGTTATTCTATTTCAATATTTTTTCTTTTTGCTGCGATAAGAAAAATGACGAAAATTTGATAGCCTATTCCATTTCTTTTTTTTAAAAAAAGAAAGTTTAAAAAAGAAAGACTTTCATAGGTTATGTTTCGCCCTTGATAATCGGCATTTGTTTCTTTGTATTATGTATTATTTCTCGCCATTGACAGAAACGGCCGGGTAATAAAAATATTTTCGATGAATGAACGTGTGTGGCAATAAGTGATATCTATTCTATAATGAGAACGATAAATTATGGAAACAAATAACATCTGTAATAATGAGGTATATTTTTTAATGTTCTCTTAATTTTTCTTTAAATCTCTCCTCTTTTTTTATTTGATCTTTATGCTGAAAAAAGCGATTTAATGCAGCGCCTATTATCGCAAGACACAATTGTATTAACAATCGTGAATATGACATTCTATTTTGTTTGCTTTATTGACGTTTAATCAATTAATTATTTATGCGCTAATTATTACAATTACAGCATGTCGAAACGTCGACACGATAAGATTCATCGCCGATCGAAGTCATTATTGTCAATTAGGCGGGCAAACATCGATAATTACGTCTTCCAAATTAATTCCACACCCGACGGCGAATCCGTTCTCCTCCTATATCTTTTTCTATAATATCATTGGTTTTACGTATAGTTTAGCGCGAGAGTCATTTCATCACCAGAACAAAAAGAGAGGATAATAAACGTCGATACATATAATTAACGAAATAATGATCGTGTCATTATAACGAACGTGACATGATTAAGGGCTGCGGGGAAATCAAGGAATGAGGGAGGGAAGTGGAAACGGGGTGGCAGGTGCAAAGGAAGGTGGTAATCGCGGACATACGCGCGCACGAACACACACGCGTACACTCGGCGGGCGTATTAATTGCTAATTATTAAGTATTGATTTTTTTAAATGGGGACGTGGAGCGTAACACCGGCTGCCCCCGTCACCCCCCCACCTGGGGGTGTAAGGGGCGGGAGACCGCTCATTCGCGTCGAGTATTAGTCCGCGGACTATTTTCCGCGGCGCGCAAAAACGAGGTGCACGCGCGCATGCGCACGCGCGCGATAATGTCAGGCAACGTTGGATGGCGGGAAAGCGCGGGATCGCGTGAGGACCGTCGGATTCACGAGCATGGGGATTGCGCGGTCCCGACGGAGGGAAAGTGGGGTGCGTCACTACCCCGCGTTAAGATGACACCACAGCGAGGTCATCGGCGCGGGCACGTGGGTAACGAGCGGCGCGTAATCACGCGCCCATAGACGAAAGAAATTGGCGGGCGCAAACCGCGCCAAGCGCAGCAACGATATTGGCCAAGATGGCGGATCAATTAAGAGTGCCGTGCGCCGATGCGTTTTATTCTTTGCCGCTCCGCATGGCCGCGACGTCGTTCGTCGTTGCATCGATGTAATATTACGATTTACGCGAGAACAGCAGCGGCGGCGACGGCGCCGTAGATACGCGCGCGCGCTGCGTCGGCGGCAGGAGGAGCGGCGAGAGGGAGAAGGAAGGGAAGGAGGCGCCGCGCGCCGCGCCGCGACGCGAGGCGCCGGCGGAATCCATAAATAAAACAATTGGTTATATACATATGTTTTTCAAATCGACGAATGCTATTATATATTTTGTATTGAGCACTCGGCACACTCCGGGGGGGAGAGGCGGACGGACGGACGCACGCCGACGCCCGACGACTACCC